GCGCACATCAGGATACCAAGTAGGCAGGTTAGGCATGTTTTGAAGTTACCAGTAATGCTGGGGCAGCACCATCATCACCACCACTAACAAAAACGAAACAGAAAGAAAATTTAGGGGCAGGAATTGACTACTTAGCTTTCAAAATGCATAAAGTAGCCACTGGGGGTGGGGGATGGGATCAGAACTTAGTTCTGACTCCCTTACATCTGTTTTGTGATGTAAGACTTTTTTTTGGTTGCCTGCGCAGCTTGTGAGATCGCATTTCCCTAACCAGGGCTTGTACCTGCACCCTTGGCAGTGAAAGCTTGAAGTCCCAGCCACTGGACTGCCAGGGAATTCCCTTCTTTTAAAATTTTTAATTAAAATCACAGACCTTACAGTGAGCTCATACCCTGCTTTTATCACTTGATAGTTGTGAAACTTTCCCATAACTAGCTCCTCTGTGCCTAATTTCCTCATCTACAAAGTAATAATGATGTATAAACTCTCTCTGGCAAATGCTAACCCCAGTGCCCACCCTTCTCCTTTTACCAGGGTCTCCTGGTGACTTTCTGATGTTAGGGAGTGTCTGCCAAGAGGCAAAGTAATGGGTGGTGTCATCTGCAGTTTCACTGGGGTCATTGGTCAGCCTGCTTCACTGCCCCGCATTTTCCCATGTGTCCTTCCTCCCTTTCTCTCCAATAATAATAGTTAACATCTGTGTACTTGCTGAGCATGCTGTGTGTGCTGGGTCCTGAACGACAGGGTGGCAAGTCAAAAAGCATCCAGGCTGCAAACTTTTATGGGGGTGGGGGGTGGAGGCAACAGCAGAGGTACAATAATGATGATAACACATAACTGATATTCTGGAACATTCCACACACTCACTCACAGCTATTTAGCCACTGATACACCCACCCAGGGGCCCATGAAACCCGGCATGCAGGCCAGATTCCTCCACCTGCTTATGTGCGGGCCTCAAGCTGTACAAAATAACTTTCCCAAGAGAGACCCTACTGCCTCCATCATCAAACCCTGCATATGGAATTAAAGAAAGTGCCTCTGCCCTTGAGTTGAGGAATTCAGTGAGCACTTAGACAGCGAGACCCAGCTGTACCCTATAAGTGTTTGTCTTGTTGATTACACATGGGGGGTGGAGCACTTTAAAGAGCTTCAGCTCTGCTCCAGGTATGGGTGTCAGGCTCACAAACTCTTCTGTAGAGGACCAGGTCAGATATTTTTTTTATTTTTTTAAAAAAACTTTTATTTGGAAGATAATTGCCGTACGATGTTGTTAGTTTCTGCTGTACAAGTCAAATCAGTCATGACTCTATCTATCTATCTGTCTGTCTATCCATCTATCTATTTATATCTCCTCCCTCCCACCCCGCTTCCCATCCCTCTAGGTCATCAAAACGCCAAGCTGGGCGCCCTGTGTTACACAGCAGCTTCCCCCAGCTATCTATGTTACACATGGTCATGTATATATGTCGATGCTCCTCTCTCATTCAATTCATGCCACCTTCTTCTTTCCCCACTGTGTCTACAAGTCTGTTCTCTACATCTGCATCCCCATTCCTTCCCAGCAGATAGATTTCTTAGTACCATTTTCCTAGACTCCATATATGTGCATTAATATGTGATATTTGTTTTTTCTCTGACTTGACTTCACTCTGTATAACAGGCTCTAGGTTCATTCACCTCACCAGGACTCAAATGTGTTCCTTTTTGTGGCTGAGTAATATTCCATTGTATACAGGTACCACATCTTCTTTATCCATTCGTCTGTCGATGGATATCTAGGTTGCTTCCATGTTCTGGCTATTGTAAACAATGTTGCAGGGAACATGGGGGTACATGTGTCTTTTTGATTGTGGTTTTCTTAGGGTATGACATCGTGGGAGCAGTAGGGTCTCTCTTAAAACTATTCAACTCTTGTTACTCTTAAAACTCTTAAACTATTAAAACTCTTAAACTCTTAAAGTACTTAACTAAGTTAACTTGTTAACTAAGTTAACTACTTAACTTAAACTACTTAAAACTCTTAAATCTATTCAACACTTGTGCCCTTCTAGTGCACATGTAGCTACAGACCATACTAATCAAACAGGCATGGTGGGGGTTCCAATAAAATCACCATGGACACTGAAGTTCGAATTTCACATAATTTCCACGTGTTGTAGAATCTTCATTTGATCTTCATTATCAGTCATTTGCTAGTGGAAAAGCTATTGATTATTTTGCACAGCTTGAAGTCTGCACATAAACAGGTGGAGGAATCTGGCCTGCATGCTGGATTTCACAGGCTGCTGGGTGGGTGTATCAATGGTTTATTGACTGTGGGTGAGTGTGGAATGTTCCAGAATACCAGTTGTGTGTTATCATCATTATTGTGCTGCTGCTCCTGCTTCCACCCCCCCCCCCCCATAANTGGAGCCTGGATGCTTTTTGACTTGCCACCTTGCATTCTAGGACCTAGCACCTAGTGGGTACTCAGCAAGTAAATGGATGTTAGCTGTTATTATTGGAGAGAAAGAGAAGAAAGACATGGGGGAAAATGCAGGGCAGTGAAGCAGGCTGATCAATAACCCCAGTGAATCTACAGATGATACCGCCCATCACTTTTGTCTGCCTCTTGGCAGACGGTCCCTAACATCAGAAAGTCACCAGGAGACCCTGGTAAAGGGGGAGGGGTGGGCATTAGGGTTAGCATTTATAGCATTTTTGCCAGAGAGAGTTTATTTAACCTTCTGTTCACAGTCCTTTGAGTATTCTCCCAGCTCTGCCAGGTGTTTGCCTTCTGGGAGCGTCTCTGTGTGACCCCTGGGTGGCGATATTGCTGCATAAATGAAACAGACTGGCTAGCTGTTTCATTTTACTGTTTGAGTCACATAAAAATCCTTTATCCTCTTGGCCACTTTCACGTTTTCCAGAGAGAGAACCCAAAGAGTGAGGGAAGAGACCTGTCCCCAGTCACAAAGCTGGTGGGAGCATGGCTGCCAGAGAAAATACAGGACATCCAATTAAAGGTGAATTTCAGATCAACAGAAATATTTATTATAAGTCTATCCCAAACATGACATGGGATATATTTACACTAAAAATTTATTTGCTGTTTATCTGAAATTCAGATTTAACTGGGCTTGCAGTTAAATATATTTACTTGCTAAGTCTGGCAGCCCTTGGGAGGGTGAATTAAAGATTCAGCTAATGATTGTACAACAGCCACACTTGCTACAGGTGGTGGAAACAGCTCCATTCCCCTCTAATATGAGGAAACTGCAGCTTAGGGAGGGTTAGTATCTTGCCCAGGTGTTGTTGTTTGGTTGCTCACTCATGTCTGACTCTTTGCAACCCCATGGACTGCTGCATGCCAGGCTTCCCTGTCCATCACCAACTCCTGAAGCTTGCTCAAACTATGTCCATTGATGCCAGTGATGCCATCCAACCATCTCATCCTCTGTTGTCCCCTTCTCCTCCTGCCTTCAATCTTTCCCAGCATCAGGGCTTTTTCTAATGAGTTGACTCTTTGCATCACGTGGCCAAAATAGTGGAGCTTCAGCTTCAGCAACGGTCCTTCCAATGAATATTCAGGACTGATTTCCTTTAGGATTGACTGGTTTGATCTCTTTGCAGTCCAAGGGACTCAAGAGTCTTCTCCAGCACCACAGTTCAAAAGCATCAATTCTTTGGCACTCAGCCTTCTTTATGGGTCCAGCTCTCACTTGCCCAGGGCCACACCAAAGTGTGGTGTAAATTCAGGATTGGAACCCAGAACCCCATCCAGAGTCTGTTTTCACCATTGTAGCCAGGCACAGCCCTGCCCATCTGGATGCATGTCCTGTTATGACTATGACCCCCCCCACTCCATTATGTGAAGTTCATCATTTTCCCCCTCCCCCACCAAACACAGGTGGACTCCATCTTCCACAGGTGTCCCTTCTCAGGAGCCCAGGGGTCCCGGTCTCTATGACCTGGTGGCTGCTCTCATTGGACTGACACCTCACTGCCTTAGGACCCAAGTCTGGGCATCACAACCATTCCCCCAGCCCCACAATGACAGCTGGGCTCCTGGAGGTGTCTCATGACATCCGGCCCCCTCTTCGTCCAGCTTCTAGGACCCTCTGCCCTCACCGCCATCGCTGTCTTTGTGAGCCTCCTCCCTCTGAATTTCTTCATCACCAAGAAGAGGAACCACCATCAGGTTTGGCATTTGGAGGAAGGCCGGAAGTGGGTGGCAAGCCTGCAGGTCTCAGGACCCGCGCTGGTGCAGGGGAGGGGGGAGGTGCAGGGCAGGGGTGGGAGCTTGTGGTGGTTGCAGAGAAGGAACATTCCAGACTTCCTGTCCTCTCCTCTCTTCTTCCCTCTGGTCCCAGGAAGAGCAAATGAGGCAGAAGGACTGTCGGGCACGGCTCACCAGCTGCATCCTCAGGAACGTGAGGACGGTCAAGTACCACGGCTGGGAGGGAGCCTTTCTGGACAGAGTGCTGCACATCCGGGCCCAGGAGCTGGGCGCCTTGAAGACCTCCAGCCTCCTCTTCTCCGTGTCTCTGGTGTCCTTCCAAGTGTCCACGTTTCTGGTGATGTCACTCTGGTCCCCCTGCAGAGCACGGACTGGGGGAGGGAGTGCTAGGGGTGCGGGATGAGGGCTCCCCATATGGGGTCACGAGGTCACCATCACACCGAGTGACCATCACAGACTGACCATCACCTAGCTTGACCATCGTTATCACCAACCCCTGGAAAGGAAGCCCCCACCCAGTGACATTTAGAGCCACATGTGCCCCCAGGACCCAGAGCGCTCCGTGGTGGCTGCTACTTGCAGCTTGAGTCATCTTCCCAGAGTCTAGAGTCATAAATCCCACCATGTCTAGAACCATGAAAATGCTAACAAGGTGCAAAAATGCATCATTGTCCAATGCCTGGAACTAAGAATTTCTGATACTAAGAGTGGGGGCCACATACACACAACTCCCTCCATCACTAGCAGAATTTGGGGGACAAGAACCTGGGTGGAAGAGAACCCATTCCAACATGGCAGGTGTGGCCACATGGCCCCTGGAGACCTGCAGGTGGCCTGCCTTCCCTGGCCACATTTAGCCACTGGTTGTCACCGCTTGTGTCTCACCCAGGTGGCACTGGTTGTATTCGCTGATGGTCACCGCCTGTGTCTCACCCAGGTGGCACTGGTTGTATTCGCTGATTGTCACCGCCTGTGTCTCACCCAGGTGGCACTGGTTGTATTTGCCGTCCACACTCTGGTGGCCGAGGAGAACGCCATGGACGCCGAGAAAGCCTTCGTGACCCTCACAGTTCTCAACATCCTCAACAAGGCCCAGGCTTTCCCGCCCTTCTCCATCCACTCCGTCGTCCAGGTGAGGCCCCGGGGAGGGGAGGCTGTCTGGGAGGAGCCTTGCAGGCTGTGCTGAAACCATGAAACAAGACAGGGAAAGAGACAGGTGGTCACAGGGAACAGTGGGAAGAAGCCAGCAAACATCCTCAAAATAGGCAGCATCACCTTTCTAGCAAATCCACCTGCGAGGATTCATTCTGATCCCTTTTTTCCATTAATACAAAGGGATTTCATTTCATTTCTCTTCCTTTACTGTCTCTGCTCACACTGTGCCTCCTTGGGCATGATGAAAATGAGAAAACTGCTTCAGCTGAGACAGTCCTATTTATTCTTTCATCCCGGAAGATGGGCTTGGGGCTGGGAGTGGAGACACCCCCAGGTGGACAGAGTTTGTAATCGTTCCTGATGACAGGCAATCAAAAAAGCCGCCATCCTCCTCCTGGTCTGGTCTGCAGAATGGAAGCAAGGAGGTGGGAGGTCACCACTAACCAGGATTGTGCCAACCTCATGCGCTTCATTGTCCACGACCTGGAAAGCTTTGTGCTGTTGCCTTGTAAATGCGTAGGGCTTGGTAGGCAGGAAGCTTTCCCACTCTCCTGAGGCACCCGACACCCAAAGTCTGAGCTCCTTTGTGGCCCTTACGGTACAGCTGACCTAAGACTTTGGTTTCTCCAGGCCCGGGTGTCCTTTGACCGCCTGGCTGCCTTCCTCTCCCTGGAAGAAGCTGACCCTGGGGCTGTGGACTCGAGTCCCTCCAGATGCGGTGAGATCTGAGTTCAGCAGGAGCGGGTGGGAGACACAAGAGACCCAGCAGGGCCCCACCTTCCCACTGGTGGAATGCCAAGACCCCAGCTGGGGGCTGCCAGTGATGGGACTGCATGCGCAGACCATGCCGTAGGCTGTGTTACTTGGAAACAGGCACTGTGTATGAATCCTCCCCTTGTGACTAAGGAAGCTGCTTACCTAAAAATCATCCGAATCCAAATTCTGGTTCCAGCATGGACCCCAGGATGGGTGACCTTGAACAGTTATTAATCCGCCTGAGCCTCAGTGTTCCCATCTGCCAAATGGACATGGTGATCATCATAACACCTCTGCACAGGACTGTTGTGAGGGTTGAATGGGTCCTCTGAAGCCTTGCAGTTAGAGCAGGGCCCTGCACCAAGTCAGCATCCAATGCATTTTAGTTATTATTAGAATTATTATTGGTAAAAATCCTCTTTGCTGAAACAAGTCAGCAAAGAGACCTCTAAATAACCCCAAATTGGTGTTTCTGAGGCTCCTCATGGCTCTGGCACGTTTTCAGGTGGGCACAGCCCTGTTTAGCCAAATTGGTGTGATTCGGGTGTTTGGAGGTGGACACTGGCTTGGAATCCCAGGATTGCCTTGCCAGCTGTGTGGTCCAGGCAGTAACAGCCTCACTCCTGGCCTCTGCTCCCCACTGTGGCAACCCACCTCCACCAGGACCGTCCTGAGGGCCACCAAGAGAGAGCAGGCCCCCGACTCTCGGGAGCTGCCCGATAACTAGCTTAGGGTCTGAGATGTCATGCCTGAATCCTGGCAGGAGGCCCGTGGACCCTGGACCAAAAACCCCTGAGTGTATTTAAGTCATGATTTACACACTTGGTCACCTGCCTGCGACCAGAGCCTCACCATGCCCCCACGTCCCCACCCCAGTCCTTGCTCTTCCCGTGAAGGTGTGTGACCGTGAGGTTAACACACACACCTACAGCTGACAGTGATCGAGCATTTACCATGAGCCAGCACCTTGGAAGTGCTTTACTTAGTGATGACCCCCTCGAACCTCACCATGGGGTAGGTGCTCCCGTGACCCACCCACTTTACAGTCGGAAATGCAGACGTACCCCCACACCCCAGACTGTTAAGAATGGACAAGCACCCACAGCAGGGTAGCCAAACTCACAAAGAAAAACACAAGACTCCCAGTTAAATCTGAATTTCACGTATTAAGAAATTTGGATTTTTTAGCATAAGTATCTCCCATGCAATGTGTGGGGCAAAATTATCCTGAAAAAGTGCTCATGGTTTATCTGAAATTCAGATATAACTGGGCATCCTGCAGTGTGTCTGAAACCCTCGCCTAGAGACCATCCAGTCCAGTGGGTGTTGACTACTTTTTAAATGTAGAATTCTCAGGCCTCACCCTCAAGGAGAGTCTCCTTTATTGGTTTGAGCTGAACCATGGAGAGCTTTGTGTTTTTTTAAAAAAATCTTTCCAGGTCATTCTAAATGTGTATTCAGGGTCCGAAACCACTAATCTGGTGCCTCCCTTGTTACATAGATAAAATATCTGAGACCCAGAGACATGGGGAGACTATATGTCCTTGGTTACATCAGTGGTCCCAGTGAAATTAATAACACTCCATCTCCAGAGTCCTGGATCAGGTGATAAATTGTATCAGCTGCCCTCTAACCTTTTCTATGAAGGACCCAATTGTACTTATTTTAGGCTTTCCAAGTCTTTTCTGTGTCGTAACTGCTCATTTCTGCCTTTCTAGTGTGAAAGCAACCCAAGGAATACATAAATGAATGGGTGTGGCTGTGTTCCGATAAAACTTTATAAGAGTAGGCAGCAGACAGGATCTGGCCCCTAGGCTGTGGTTTGCCGACCAATGAGTAATGTGACCATCCTACAGGGAGGGAATGTGACCACCGCAGGGTCACACAAGCCGGTGCATAGAGGGGCAGTTTGTTTAGTGGGGGAGATTTCCTGCTGCCCATGGGTATCCTGAAGGAGGGGCGAGTCGGGAGCACCTCGTGTAACTGGCCTTGTGTGCCTTGTAGCTGCTGGGGAGGACTGCATCCGGATACAGGAAGGTACCTTCGCCTGGTCCCAGGAGAGCGCTCCCTGCCTGCACAGGTACAGGTGGTTTCCCTGGTAACAGCCTTCCCTTGGATGTTGGCGAGGTGGGGGACGACAGGAAAGCAAGAGTTCCCATAGATGGACGGGGAACAGGGTTTCCGAGCCTTGCCTATCAGGGAGGAGACGCCCCTCTGGTCCCCAGGCTGGTCATGTTGCTGTTGAGGGTAGGCCTGGCCAAGAGGAGCCCCAGGGTCCGGTCATCCATGGCCTCATCTGTCCCTGCCATGTCAGACTGGCCATTGTCGCCTCCAGCCCCCACCTCTTTGGCTGGGTCTCTGTGGCAGAAAACCCCAGCCAACCCCAAAGCTCCCTGTGAAGGAAGAGGAGACTGGGGGCACAAGTGAGAGATCAGGGTGAGGGGGCAGAGTGATGTCAAGGTAGGGGTATGTGCAGTGAGGGAAGGCCTAGCATTTGAACAGAGGTCAGATAACGGGAAGGAATGAGCCTTGCATGTGTTTGGGAGAGGAGCTTTCTAGGCAGTGAGAGGAGCAAGTGCCAAGGTCCTGAGGCAGGTGTGTGCCTGGACCCAGGACTCTCCACCTCTGCACCACTGACATTTGGGGCTGAGAGTTCTGTGTGGTGGGGGCTGTCCTGTGCCCTGCCGCAGGATTAGCAGAACTCCCAGTATCAACCTACTAGATTTGAGAGCAGCCTCACCAGGTGTGACAGCCGAAAGTACCTCCAGACTTTGCCACTTGACACTTGTGGGGCACGATCCCCCAGGTGTGTTTGAGAAACAGGATATCAGCATGGCTGCATTGATGGGATGCTGGGCATCCTTCATGATTGTCAGAACCTCACCTTTTACCCCAAGTGAAGTGGGAACTTTTGGGGCGCCCATGGGGGAGTTGGGTTTGAACAGGTCCCTCGAGCCCTGTGGGGGGTGGACTGCAGGGCATGGACAGGGTGGGGGGCAAGGGCTTCAGTAGGGAGAGCGGTGAGGAGCCTGTGGCTGTGACCTGGGCAACAGGAGATGATAGTTAAATCCTCCCAACCAGTAAACTCTTGTGTGCATGAGTACATGTGTACATTCAGGTGTACATGTGTGTGTGCACACAAGTGTGTGTGAGAGAGCATTTGTGTATGCACTTGTGTGTGCACAGATTGTGCATATGTCATGTGCATGTCTCTGTGCACATGTGTGGTGTGTGTGTGTGTGTGTGTGTACTTGTGTGAGCGTGTGCATCTGTGTGCACTGTGTGTGTAGTGCATGTGGGCACAGTTACATGTGCCCTTGTGTATGCTGGCATGTGTGTATCTGTGTACAGGTGTGCATGAGGTATGGTGTAGTGAGTGTGCACAGACTCCTGTGTGCATCTGTGTACACATGTGCATGTGTGTGTGGTATAGTGAGTGTGCACAGACCCGTGTGTGTGCATCTGTGTATACATGTGCATGCATGTGTAATGTGAGTGTGCACAGACCCATGTGTGTGCATCTGTGTATACATGTGCATGCATGTGTGATGTGAGTGTGCATAGACCCATGTATGCATGTGTATATCTGTGTACACATGTGCATATGTGTGTGTGTAGTGTGCCCAGACCCATGTGTATACACATGTGCATGGGGTGTGGTATAGTGAGTGTGCACAGATGTGTGTGTGTGCATCTGTGTACACATGTGCATGCATGTGTGATGTGAGTGTGCACCAACCTAAGTGTACATGTGTGTATCAGTGTACATGTGTGCATGTGTGTGTGGTATAGTGAGTGTGCATAGACCTGTGTGTGTGCATCTGTGTATACATGTGCATGCATGTGTGATGTGAGTGTGCACAGACCCATGTATGCATGTGTATACCTGTGTACACATGTGCATGTGTGTGGTGTAGTGTGCCCAGACCCATGTACACATGTGCATGGGGTGTGATATAGTGAGCGTGCAAAGACTGTGTGTGTGCATCTGTCTACACATGTGCATGCATGTGTGATGTGAGTATGCACCAACCTAAGTGTACATGTGTGTATCTGTGTACACGTGTGCATGTGTGTGTGGTGTAGTGTGCCCAGACCCATGTGCGTACACATGTGTATGGAGTGTGGTATAGTGAGTGTGCACAGACCCATGTGTACATGTGTGTATTTGTGTACATGTGTGCATGCGTGTGTGGTGTAGTGTGTCCAGACCCATGTGTGTACACATGTGCATGCGTGTGTGGTGTAGTGAGTGTGCACAGACCCGTGTGTGTGTGTGTATGCATCTGTGTACACATGTGCATGCATGTGTGGGCATGTGTACAGTCACATGCAGGATGGCAGCTCGCATAGCCATACAGGGGTTGGGAGAGGAAGGGGGGCCCCAGACAGCGTCTTAGCAGCCCCCCATCCTGGGTGAGTCACCAGCAGCCAAGGCCGGTTGTCTGGGGGTCACCAGCTCTGCCCGGACTCAGGCTGAGTCCTACTCAGGGACATGTCGCCCCTTCTGTGTCACCAGGATCAACCTCACAGTGCCCCAGGGCTGCCTGCTCGCTGTTGTCGGTCCCGTGGGGGCAGGAAAGTCCTCCCTGCTGTCTGCCCTCCTTGGGGAGCTGGCCAAGGTGGAGGGGTCCGTGAGCATCAAGGTGAGGCCGGGCCCCTGCTGTTCACTGGACTGCCCCCTGCCCCCCCCAGCTCCTCCCGGTTCACCGTCTCACAGCTAAGCTCCCCGCTGCCTTTCACCACCTCCAAGAGCCCGGCTCCCACCGCTCCTCCAAATCTGCTCCCAACCCCGTCCCCATCAGCCTGTTTGTCTTTTAGGGTCCGGTGGCTTACGTGCCCCAGGAGGCCTGGGTCCAGAACATGTCTGTGGTGGACAATGTGTGCTTCGGGCAGGAGCTGGATGCACCATGGCTGGAGACGGTCCTGGAGGCCTGTGCCCTGTGGCCAGATGTGGATGGCTTCCCTGCAGGGGTCCACACCCGAACCGGGGAGCAGGTGAGGGTCCTGGGGGGCCTTCATGGGCCAGGGAGGCGGGGCGGCTGGGGGCCATTGGCTGCCCTGACCTGTGAGGGAAGGATACAGGGGAGACAGAGTGTAGGGGAGAAAAGGGGCCCAGCTCAGGGCCAGGCACGTAGCAAGTGCTCAATAAATAGTCTTTAATGAGAATGGTTGAAAATGGAGACTGAAGAGAGGCCGGGAGACATGGCAGGGGTTGGTGGGGTGTGGGGTGGGGGCTTTCTAACAACTGGGAATGAGGTGACCCAGGCTCCTGCCCTGCCTCTCTGCGTGACAATGGTCAGCTTGCTTCCTCTCTCAGGACCTCACCAAAAGATCTGGGTCGAGATGTCTGATAAACAGGATGTGTGCATCCAGAGCTATGGGTTGGGCCAGGATTGACAAACTATGACCCACAGGTCAAATCCGGCCCACCAGCTGGGTTTGTAAATAAAGTTTTATTGGAACCCAGCCACGCACATTCATTTACCTGTAGTCCGTGGCTGCACTTGCATGATCAGGGCAGAGATGAGCAGCTGTAACAGAGACTAGGGTGGGGATGGGGCAGCGAAGCTTTATTTATTTATTTTTGGCTGCACTGTATCTGCATTGCTGCACGTGGGCTTTCTGCAGTTGCGGAGAGCGGCGCCTGCTCTAGTGGCGGTGCACAGGCTTCTCACTGCAGTGGCTTCTCTTTGTTGCAGAGCATGAGCTCTGTGGTACACGGGGCTTTGGCAGTTGCAGCATGTGAGTTCAGTAGTTGTGGGACACAGGCTTAGTTGCTCCACAGAATATGGGATCTTCCCAGACCAGGGATCAAACCAGTATCCCCCTGCATTGCAAGATGGCTTCTTCACTACTGGACCACCAAGGAAGCCCCTGCAAACCTTTAAAGAGTTACTATCTGGCCCTTTATAGAACACATTTGCTGACCCTTGGATTAAGGAATTGAGAGTGGGAAAATGGGAGATAAAGTTAAGTAAATGGGTAAGGTTTCTTGGAAGGAAGAGGAGAGCTTCCAGGAAAGGGTCTGGAGGAGCCAGAAAGAGCAGCTGAGAGGGAACATCTGGGGAGAAAGACAAGGCGTCCTGCAGCCACGGGGAGGGAGTAGGGTGCCTGCTGCCCTCAACCTCTGTCTACCTATGTCACATCCTAAACCAAACATGACCTCCCATTCCCTGCTCCCCTGAAACCCACCCCATCCTAGGTAATGGAAGCTCCATCCTTGCAGAGCTCAGAGCCCAAACCTTGGTGTCCTCCTTGATTCTCTCTTTTTCTTATACCCATGTCTAATCCATCAGCAAATCCTGCTGGATCCCCCTTTGAGGTAGACCTAGAATGTTCCATGCCTACCCCAACATCAGCTCTCCCCACATAATAGCCATGCAGTAAATATGAGTGGAATGATGAATGAATGAAAATAAGGACTGAGAAGTTCCCACTGGATTAGGCAACAGGGAAGTGACCAGTGTCCATGAGGAAGGCTGTATCAGTGAAGAAATGGGAATAGAAACTGGACTCAAGGGGAGGGAGAGGCAGATGCAGGAAGCTTGGCTGGAAAGGGAAGAAGCCAGGCAGGGTGGAGGCTGGGGGGATGTTGTCTTAAGAGCGAGTGTTTCAAGTTGGAGGTGGCCATGGAGGACAGGCAGTGTGAGCCGTAGCTCACTCTGGTGAGCAGACGTGTCCCCCATCACACTGGCATTGCAGGTGTAGACCCAGGTTCCCGTCCCTCCCTTGTCACCACAGGGCATGAATCTCTCTGGGGGCCAGAAGCAGCGGCTGAGCCTGGCCCGGGCCGTCTACAGGAAGGCTGCTGTGTACCTGTTGGATGACCCCTTGGCATCCCTGGATGCCTGTGTTGGCCAGCATGTTTTCAACCAGGTCATTGGGCCTGATGGGCTGCTCCAGGGGACGGTAAGTTTGGGAAAATGTCTAAGAGGCCATAGTGCAAAGGTAGAGAAAGTTCTAACCTACATCTGCTCACCACCACCCTCCTGGAATTCAGTTTTCCTCTTTGTAATGGTCAGCTTTTGCTGTGACCACGCTGCATAACAAACAGCCCCTAAATCTCAGTGGCTCCCACCTTCAGTCATGTCTTGCCTACGGGTCTGTGGTTAAACTACCACAGCTCTGCATCAGGTCACTGGCCAGGTTCAGGTGAACTGTGTCTTCTGGTTTCAAGACAGGTTGAAGGAGCTCCTTTACTTCTCTATTGGAACATGCCGTTTTCAAGGAACAGGGCAGGAGCACAAGAAGGGGAGGTCTCCCCACTCGGAGCCCCAGGACACTGCCAGCCCCCTCCCCCAGTTCTGGAACAGTGGTCAAGTGCATGAGTGTAACTTCCATCCCTTCCTGCCAGACTCGGATTCTCGTCACCCACGCACTCCACGTCCTGCCCCAGGCTGATTGGATCGTGGTACTGGAAGATGGGGCCATTGCAGAGATGGGTTCCTTCCAGGAGCTGCTGCACAGGAAGGGGGCCCTGGTGGGCCTTCTGGATGGAGCCAGACAGCCAGGAGATGGAGGAGAAGGAGGTACTGGCTGGGCTTTGCTGGTTCTCTGTGCCTGGTTTCTGCTACCCTTGGAGAGGCGGTTACACAGCTCCCACTGGCCAGAGTGGAGCCTTCAGACCACACCCTCCCTAAAGGCCCAGGCCAGAGGCAGATGGCCCTCCCATGAGACCACCCATCCCCCAGTTGGTGCCAGTAGAACTTTCTATGAGCCAGGGGCTGTGCTAAGTGCTTCTATAAACATACATTGTCTTATTTGGTCTTCACAATCCCCCATGAGGCACTGTACAGTTATTTTTTTCACCTGATTTTTCTTTTTTTTTCATGCAAAGGCAGTATACAAGTCCAACTTTCATGTGTATATGTCTTTACATAAGCCAGGCTCACATCTCTTCATCGCAGTGGTGGTTCACAGACTTTTGGATGCAAAAATGTACTTGAAATGCTCATTTAAAATGCCATTCCAAGCTCTCCCCATGAAGATTTTGGGATTCAAAGGCTTTTGATGGTTGTGATCAATATCCCGCACTTTGAGTAACAAGGCCCAAATATGATATACCTAGACTAGCTTCTCAGCCTTTTGGCTAAGGTCAAGGGCATGTGTGCATAGTTGCTCAGCTGTGCCCAACTCTTTGCAACCCTTTGGACTGGAGCCCACCAGCCTCCTCTGTCCATGGGATTCTCCAGGCAAGACTACTGGAGTGGGTTGCCATTTCCTTCTCCAGGGGATGTTCCTGACCCAGGGATCCAACCCATGTCCTCTGTGTCTCTGGTATTGTAGGCAGATCGTTTACCTGCTGAGCTATCAGGAAAGGTCAAGTATAGTATGAAGGCTTCCCTGGCAGCTCAGTGGTGAAGAGTCTGCTTACTGACCCAGGAGATGCAGGTGGGATCCCTGAATCAGGAAGATCCCCTAGAGTAGGAAGTGGCAACCCACTCCAGTATTCTTGCCTGGAAAATTCCATGGACAGAAGGGCCTGGTGGGCTGCAGCCCACGGGATGCAAAGAGTTGGACATGACTTAGTGACTGAAAACAGACTAGTATACCTAGATGTACTGTGATAGACCGAATAAGGCAATAAGAATGTAGCTCTTGATTGGTAAATGTAACTTAATTGTAAGTAAATTATAGCATTTTATATCAAAACAAGTATAGATAAGTAGGTATTCATACAAATCTTCAAGACAGCCATGCAAGAAAGTTTTGTGTTTTTTGTGGGTGCTATGTGGTACCCCAGAGATATCATTTGATTTTGTTATTAGATGGGGGGTGTGCACTTGCTCATTGAATTGCCAGCAGTTTGAAAGTTTGACGTTTGCACTGGGGCAGGGGATTCATCCTGAGTTTATTATTTATGTCATGATTAAACCTACTGAGTTATGTAGCATTATCAGAAGCATTGTTGGATGGGACTTCCCCGGCAGTCCAGTGGTTAAGACTCTGGGTTCCTGGTGCCGGGGCCATGGGTTCAATCCCCCATGCTGCATGGTGTGGCCTGGCCAAGAGCTTCCTCAGGATTGGGTGCTGGGGCAGCAGATTTAGGGTGCAGCCATAGACTCTGGGCACCCACTGCCGCCTGCCCTTGGACAGGACCCACCACCCCAGGCCCCAAGCATATCCAGCGCCCCCATGGCCTCATGGTGGCCAAGGAGGAAGGGGACGGGGCTGCCAGGGCTTGGCAGTGGGGTCAAGGTCAGAGCAGGAAGGGGCCCACAACGTGCTCACGAGAGTGTTCTGTGAGTCCATCCCGTTGTGCAATTATTGCAACCACTTTTCAGAGGAGCAACTCAGCCAAAAGAGAGTTAAATAATTTGCCCGAGGTCTCAAGATTAGAGCTTGGGTGTGTTCGGCCCGAGTCTGTGCTTGGAACTGCTACAGGGACTGAGCAAGGAGGTCACTGGTGCTTTGAGGCCAGAGGCCCTGGGCGTGCCAGCTAGGGGTTCTACCTACCCAGAGAACACAATCCTTACTGGAAAAATTGACAGTGTTCTGGTAGGAAAGTCAGCTATCCACGTTCAGCGACAGTGATGATAAAGAGCTGCCAGGGTCACCTTCATTAACCACTTAGCACCTGTGAGCTCAGTACTGTACTTCAGTTTAGTCGCTCAGTCGTGTCCGACTCTTTGCGACCCCATGAACCGCAGCGTGCCAGGCCTCCCTGTCCATCACCAACTCCCAGAGTCCACCCAAACCCATGTCCATTGAGTTGGTGATGCCATCCAACCATCTTATCCACTGTCATCCCCTTCTCCTCCCACCCTCAATCTTTCCCAGCATCAGGGTCTTTTCAAATGAGTCAGCTCTTCGAATCAGGTGGCCAAAGTATTGGAGTTTCAGCTTCAGCATCAGTCCTTGCAATGAACACCTAGGACTGATCTCCTTTAGGATTGACGGTACTTACCTTCATTAAAAAAGTTTATTTATTTTAACCGGAGGATAGTTACAATATTGTGATGACCTTGGCCATACAGCCACATGAATCGGCCGTCGGCATACCTGTGTCCCCTCCCTCCCTCCTGAACCCCCCACTCCCTGCCCACCTCCCTCCCCACTCCATCCCTCCAGGTTGTCACAGAGCATCAGCTTGAAACATGTACATTACCATTTGTAAACTAGCCAGTGGGAGTTTGATGTATGACACGGGGAAACCTCCATTTTTTAGATGAGAACTGAAGCCTGGAAGTTCAAGGACTGGTCCAAGTTGACCTGATTCGTAAGTGGCAGTGCCAGGGTTTGAACCTCCATCTATATGCTGTTTGTTGCCCCTCCAAGACAGAGTCGGGGCTCACAGCCCGTTTTCCCCCATCCCAGGCTCCGCCTCCTCTGCTAAGCAGTGGCTCGCCCTGGTAAAGTCCCTAAGTGTTGATTCACTGTGTCACCCACCTGGGGCTTGAAGATAGGACCCTCCCAGCCTAGGGGATGGTGGGCAGGAGGGTCCTTCCTTGGGAAGAGGACATCTGAGGCTGGGTGAGAGCTACTTGGAAAAGAACATTCCAGAAACAGTGAACTCCTTGTGCAAGGGCATTGGGGGAACTCAAGCGGTTGGACTTGGTGCAGTGATTATTGCTGTTTCCCAGCCCCAAGTTCGCAGCAGATGCTTGGTTATTTTTGCCAAGTGAATAAGTGAGTGAATGAATGAGGTTCCGGGAAGAACCCAGGGAGGACGGAATGAGAGGGAAGGAGCCAGGTGAGAGGATGTGGGTGCTCAGCTAGTGAAGGCCACACAGCCAGTGGGTGTCAGAGCCAGCATCTGGACCCCGAGGTACCGAGCTCCATCGAGTGACGCGGCTCCCTTTACCTTGCAGAAGCAGAACCCCCGGCTGGTGCCAAGGACCCCAGAGGCTCTGCCACAGGTGGGATGCCTGAGGGCGGATCAGAGAGGTGAGTTCGCTGAGGTGCTGAGCACCGGCAGGGCCCGAGAGCTGAGGCTGAAGCCGAGGCGCTGTGTGACCGCCTACATTTCAGGAGGGTGGGGCGGCCCCAACCATTCTGAATTGAACACCTGCTGAAGACCCATCATGGGGCCCAGTGCAGGATGACTCACCAGAGACCACCGGCCCGTCAGTTAGCCAAAATGACTAAGTGCCCACGTGTCCCTTTCACAGAATGACCTATCTGCCCTCAGGTGTGATGAAGGCCATGGAGTTTGTCAGAGTTGTTTCGTGGCTGCAGTGGGGCAGGGCTGATGCAAGGAAGGAGTCAGGCCAGGCTTGTTAATGTCCATGCCAGGCCCTGTAGCTTATGCTTTGAGGGGCATCAGTGTCACTTGGTGCTGGGGGGGGTCACTAGGGGGAGGCCTGGTGTCCCCCTTTCTCCAGCTCCCTCTAGCCACTCACTGATGGACTCACTGAGGTGCCATCTGCGGCAAGGGGATGGGCCACCTGTGCGCTCCATTCTTATGGGAAGTGACCTTGCAAAACAGAACAATAGACCACTGGGTGCCAATTGTTGGGGGACCACAGGGGGAAGTGGGGGGGCCTCAGTCCCTGAAGCTGGGACCGTTTCCTCCCATCACAGCCAGTCACCCAGAGCACTCCTGGCCATTCGCTGGGCAGGCCCACAATGTACAGTATCCTAAGTAAGAGCAGATAGATAGATGTGTAGATGGATGCTAGGTAGATAGATATAATAGGTAGAGAGGTAAGTAGGTAGATAGGTAGTAAGACAGAGAAACAGATACATAGATGTAGGTAGATGAATATTGTATTGGAAAAACTTGCTAATCATCCCCCTTTCTCTCCATTGTTGTTGTCTTTTCATTGCTAAGTTGTGTCCGACTCTTTTGCGACCCTAGCCCGCCAGGCTCCTCTGTCCATGGGATTATCCAGGCAAGCATACTGAAGTGGGTTGCCGTTTCCTTCTCCAGGAGGTCTTCCCAACCCGGGGTTCAAACCCATGTCTCCTGCATTGGCAGGCAGGCTCTTTACCACTGTGCCACCAGAGAGGCTTTCACATAACCACATCATTCACTCTGACACCAGACGGGTGCTCCCCTACCCCCCGCAGACCTTCACAGCAAGCAATTCTCCAACACCAACAGGATGTCCTGCAATTGAACTCAGTTCTGAGGCTGACCACCTGGAGAGAATGTCAGATCCCACAAGTGAAGGGCTCCGTCCCTCAAGCCTGCTCCCCCCACTTCAGATGCCAGTCACAAGTAGTAGGTCTCCAGGGTTTGCACAACTTCTGTCCTATTTGGGGATGAATTGGGGGTTTGCATCACACCCTCCTTGAGTTTGATTAATTTGCTCAAGTAGCCCACAGCATTCAGTTCATTGAAGGATGTGATCAAGGAGACAGAACAGCCAGATAAAGAGACACACATGGTGAGGTCTGGGAGGGTCCCGCATGCAGGAGCTTCTGTCTGCGTGGAGCCTCGTGTATCAACCTCTGGGTGTGTACACTAATCTGGAAGCTCCCCAAATCCCATATAATTGGGATTTTATCGAGGCTTCCCGATGTGGGCATGATCCATCATTAACTCCATTTCCTGCCCCTCTTCCCTCCCTGGAGAATTGGGGTGGGGCTGAAAATCCCAAGCTTCTAATCATGGCTTAGCTTTTCTGGTGACCAGCCCCCATCCAGGAACCCACCCAGAGTCATCTCAGTAGAACAGAGATGTTCTCAAGGCTCTTCTCACTTAGGAATTTACAAGGGTTTTAGGAGCTGTGTGCCAGGGATGGGGTCAAAGACCAAATATATATTCCTTAACATAAATCACAATATCACAGAGATAGATAAATTGATAGATGAATAAAGAGACTGATGGGTAGATGATTGGTTGATAGATGATTGATAGATAGGCAGACATAGATTATCCCCATTTGACAACTGAGGAAACGGAGGCACGAAGAGATTAGTCAACTGCCCATGGTTTCACACTAAATGGCAATTCATATTTAAGGTCATCAGCCTACTCAGCCACAGTTAATAGGAACAATCCAGAAGTGTTCAGCAGACTTCCTGAAAACCTGGACTGACAAATCTGAGAGTAAACAGCAGGTGCAAAATGATTGCAGCAATGCTTAGACCAAAATGAAAACCAAGGATCTCCCTCAGTGAGATGGCATTGGAAGAACAGGCTTGGTCACCTCTGGGGTGATAGGTGGCATCTAGCTGGCACTGCAGAGGGAGAACAAGAACATGGCACCTAATTGGTGCTCACAGTGTTAGTTGAATGAATGAATGAGTGAGCGAGTGACTCAGTGGCTACCATACGCCCCATGAAGAGAGGCATAGATTTGTCCTCATTTGCTCTAAATGACAGGTTCATGAAGTTGGTCCCTGAGAAGGACAGTGCTGCTTCAGAGGCCCAGACAGGGCTTCCCCTGGATGATCCTGAGGGGCCAGGACAGCCGAAAGGAGAGGACCGCATGCAATATGGCAGGGTAACCATCTGCTGCTTCCAAACCCCACATCCACTGCTACTGCTGCCCCCCAGGGCTCGGGATCTCCCCACATACACAGCACTGGGTGCGGGAAGAGGTTCGGGGGGATGACTCACCTTTATTGAACACCTACTATGTGCCAAGTAAGATTCCAGACACCTCATACTTCTTAATGCTCACAACCACCATAAACTGAGATGATGATAGCTCCATTTTAGGGGTGAAGAAACTGAGTCCTTAGGAGTTTAGAGATTTGTCTGTGTTCTCACAGCTAGCAAGTGACCACTCGGGGCTCAGACTTAGGAGAGTCTGAATCTGAAGTTTATGGTATTTCTTCTTTCCTATGCTGCTTTGTCTATCCATCCACTCCCTACCTATTTATTCATTCATCCATCCATTTTCCTTTCCAGCCACTCACCCACCCATCTACTCAGGCTTCTATCCATCTCACCCAACCATCCAACTCTTCACTCACCCAGTCATCCACCCATCCATCCGTCCTGCCATCCGTCTATCCACCCAGCCTCTTACAGACCCACTCTTTTACTCATCCACCCACCCATCTACCTGTTTACTCACCCCTTTTTCCACTCAATCATCCACCTACTCATCACCCAGCAAACATTTTCAGAACCCCCACTGTGTGCCAGATGACTTTTCTGCCTTGGTGGAGATTGCAGGCCAGTGGTGGTGGGGTTAGGAAACAATTAGGCTAATAAGAAAGGTGATATCAGGTAATGATAGATGCTGTAAAGAAAATCAAGAAAGTGATGAGATAGGGACCAACCAAGAGTCGGGGGCCTGCTTGGATAGGATGCTCTGAGGAGTGACATTTGACATCCCTGAAGGAGGTGAAGGAAGCAGTCGTGAAAAGGGCAGGGAAGAGCATTGCGGGCAGAGGGAACAGCAGGGGTCAAGGCCTTGAAGTGAGAAGGAGCCAGAGAGAGGGATCCCATGAGACCAGCAGATAGTGCATAGTGGGTGGGTGAGGTCAGAGGGTGTTCCGAGGTTTGGAATTTCTTCCAAGAGAAAGAGAAAGTCAAGGATAGGTCAGCAACAGCAATGTGGGGTCAGGTGGATGTTTGAACAAGTTCATTCTGGGTGCAGCTGCATGCAGAATTTCGTACTTGTGGGAACTAGACCTTAAATAAATGATTTAACCACTCTGTGTCTCAGTCAGGTGGGAAATATGATGAGGATGGAGACACATGCCTGTCCATAGTAGGTGTTCAAATAACCACTCCCAACCTAGAAAGTGCTATCGCCTGTCCCCGTTAAGGCTCCCACTGGCCATCTGGGAGCCATAGAGGAAGGGGGTCCTGAGACTGGGCGGGCCTTGGGGGGAGGTGATGCTCCGGGTGGGAGGTACCGCACGGTGCTTCTGTCTGCCTGTTGGCGTGTTTTGGGAGCCCTGCCTGGCCTTTCCTGTCTCCCCCTGGGGCATCGCTCTGCCCCCATCTCTCCTGTGTGTGCTACAGGTGAAGGCTGCCATGTACCTGACCTACCTACGGGCGGTGGGCACCCCGCTCTGCCTCTACGCCCTTTTCCTCTTCCTATGCCAGCAAGTGGCCTCCTTCTGCCGTGGCTACTGGCTGAGCCTGTGGGCAGACGACCCCACCGTGGACGGGCGGCAGACTCACGCGGCCCTGCGGGGCTGGGTCTTTGGGCTCCTCGGCTGTCTCCAAGGTACCCCTCTCCATCCTCCAGCGGCACCCAAGAGTTCCTCGGGGCTGCCTCACCTACACACCCGGGCTCACCCTCTCTTTCCTGAACATCTGGGCAACCATCCTGGGGGCAAACACAGACCTACATCCTTAAGCTGGGGCTGGGGAAGACCCTACTTTGACAGAACCCTCAGAGTCTCTCCCAGCCTCATCAGCAAAGGCAGAATGTTGGCCCCCAGGTTTGGGGGCAGCTGAGCACTTAGGTGGAGCAGCAGGTCAGCTGGACTCTGCCCCTCCGCCAAGCAGAGGACCACTCCAAAGTCTGGCTGTTTGTGGCTTCCAGCAGGCCCACGTGGCTGCTGCTGCCCCCCTCCCAACCCCCAGGGGAGGCGGGTCCTGGACCACTTCCCCATCATCATCCCCCCCAACTTCTATTTTTTTTTAAATAGCTTTATTTTTTGGGTTCACAGCAAAATTGAGCAGAAGGTATAGAAATATACCCCCACCTCCGCATGTATATAGCCTAGGTCGTTATCAACATCCCCCCCAGTGGTGACTTTGTCACAAATAATGAACCTATATCCTAGTTACCCAAAGTCCACAGTTGTTTTTCTTAAACAGTCTTCTTCTTATTTATGGTGGGGGGGAGGGGCGGGTGGGGGCTGTGCTTTGCCTCAGTTGAGGCACATGGGATCTTTGATCTTCGTTTCAGCATGCAGGATCTTTAGTTGTGGCATGTGGGATCTAGTTCCCAGTCCAGGGATCCAACCAGGGCCACCTGCCTTGGGAGTGCGGAGTCTTAGCGATTGGACCAGGAGGGAAGTCCCCCGGAGTCCACAGTTTTCATCAGGGTTCACTCTGAGTGTTGTACATCCCATAGGCTTGGACAAATGTATGATGACATATCTCCACCATCAGAGCGTCATACGGAATAGTTTCAACTGCCCTAAAATTATCTGTGTTCTACCTGTTCATCCTCTGTTTCATTGATCTGATTGTGCTTTCACCAATTCCACACAGTCTTTTTTTTCCCCCTGAGTTCTATACCATATTTTTCTTCCACATTTATTGATGTAGTTGACATGCAGCACTGTGATTTGACTTATATCATGAACTGATTACAATAAGTTTAGTGAACATCTGTCATCTCATATAGATACAAAATTAAACAAATATTTAAAAAAATTTTTCCTAGTGATGAGAACTCTTAGGATTTGCTCTCTTAGCTTTCATATATAACATACATCAGTGTTAATTAGGGCTTCAGACCCTTCACCGTGGCCCAGACGGTGAAGAATATGCCTGCAATGCAGGTTTGATCCCTGGGTCGGGAAGATCCCCTGGAGAGGTGAATGGCAACCCGCTCCTGTATGCTTGCCTGGAGAATTCCATGGACAGAGGAGCCTGGCAGGCTGCAGTCCATGAGGTTACAAAGAGTTGGACATGATTGACTAACACTCTCACTTTCAGCATTAATTATATTTATCATGTTGTACATTACATCCCTGGTATTTACTTACCTAATAGCTAGAAGTTTGCACCTTTTGACCACGTTTATCTAGTTCTCCCTCCCCACATACCTCACCTCTGGTGACCAGAAGTCTGATATGAGTTTCTTTGTTTTTGAAGTATAATACACACAACACTGTGTTAGTTCCTCTTCCAAGTTTTCAACTTTCCCTATGGTACTTGTTGACTATTGGTCTCATGCCAGTTTCCTGTTACATAACATAGTAATTTGATATTTGTCGGCATTTCAAAATGATGACCATGAGAAGTCTTAGTTATGATCTGTCACTATAAAAAGATATTATATAATTATTCATAATATTACCTCACACTATATATTTCATACCTCTTGAGCCATTTATATTGTAAAGGCAAATTTGTCCCTTTTAACCTCTCTGACCTATTTCTTTCCTCCCTCCCTTCTCCTCCCCTCCCCTATAGCAACCCCCTGTTTTTCTCTCTGTTTGTGTGACTCTGTTTACTTATGTTTGTTTATTTGTTTTGTTCTTTAGATTCCACATATAGGTGAAATTACACAGTATTTGTCTTTGTCATTTCATTTAGCATAATACCTTCTAGGTCCATCCATGTTGTCCCAAATGGCAAGAGTTTTCTTTTTGGCTGAGTAATATTCTATTGTATATATACTACATCTCGTATATCCATTCATCTATCAGTGGGCACTTATGTTTCTTCCATATCTTGGTTTTTGTAAATAATACTGCAATGAGCATAGTGGTGCCTGTATCTTCTCAAATTAGTGTTTTCATTTTGGGGGAATAAATATCTAGAAGTGGACTTGCTGGATTGTATGGAAGTCCTATTTTTAATTTTTTGAGGAGTCCCCATGCAGTTCTCCATAGTGGCCACGCCAATTTACATTCCCCTCACTGGTGCACAAGGGTTCTCTTTTCTCCACATCCTCACCAACACTTGTTTTGTTGTCTTTTTGAGAATAGCCATTCTGACAGATGTGAGATGATATCTCATTGTGGTTTGACTTACATTTCCCTGATGACTGGTGAGCATCTTTTCAAGCACCCACTGACCATCTGTATGTAGTATTTGAAAAAATGTTCATTCAGATTCTCTGTGCATTTTTTAATTGGGTTGTTTGGTTTTTTGACATTGAGTTGTATGAGTTCTTAGTATATTTCAGATATGAACTCCTTATCAGAAATATCATTTGCAAATATCTTCTCCCATTCAGTAGGTTAATTTTTCATTTTGTTGATAATTTACTTCACTGTGCAAAAGCTTTTTAGTTTAATGTAGTTATATGTTACTGAGAGAGGTTTTTGTTGTTTGAGGGGGTTGTTTTTGTTTGTTTTGTCATGAACAAGTGCTGGATTTCATAATCTTTTTCTGCATCTATTGATATGATCATGTGATTTTTCTTCTTTAGTCTTTTCTGTAGTAGATTACATTAATTGATTTTTCAAATGTTGAAGCAGCTCTGTACATCTGGGATAAATTCCACTTGGTCATGATGTATAATTGATTTCATATCTTGTTGGATTTAATTTATTTTGTTGAGGATTTTTACATGTTCGTTCTTTAGAGACGTTGGTTTATGCAGTTTTCTTGTAATGATTGTCTGATTTTGGCTTCAGGGAATGCTGACCTCATAGAATAAGTTAGGAAGTATTCCCACTGCTTCAATCCTCTGAAAGAAATTATAGAGAATCTGAAAAAGATTGTAGAGATTAATATAATTTCTCCTTAAATATTTGTTTTTTTGTTTTGTTTTTTTTTAACTATTTTTCTTTCCTTTATTTAGTGAAATTCTTACAGAGCATAAAAGCAAAGAAATTATAAAGAAAAGTGTGAATTATTTAATTAAACAAAAATAAAAATTAATAGCTTTTGAATGCCTAGAAAAAAACACAAAATAAAGGCAGACATTAAACTGGCAAAAATATGTACATCATATAATAGACAGAGTGTCCGTAATAGATATGGTTTACAAACAAATGAGAAAAAAAACTGCAGTACATAAAAAGACATAGATGAGTAGGTTCATTCACAAAAGAAGAAATACAGGTAGCCAATAGGCATTAGAATAATTAGGACCAAATCAGTTTTAAAATGAGCAAGAAAATATTATTTTTTCTATAAAATTTTTAAAAAATCTTTAAAAAATTCGTGTTTAGCACTTTTCAGAGTGGAAGGAAATATTTGACTTAATAATGACTATAAATATTGGCTTATTCTCTCTGTAATTTAAACTGGTAATGTGTATTACTAATTGTATTCTTATCCTTTGATCCAGTAATTTAGTTTTTAGAGGTTTATGATAAAGAAGTAATAAGAAATAATAAAAAAATTAAGGAGAATTGTGTATAAAGACATTATTTGTGAAAATAAAACATTGAATAGCCCATAATATTCCATTATGAAGTATTTTAGAATATTATGTAATCATTAAAAATTATATCTCAAAAATATTTTGAGATATGTAAAAATCTCTCAGTATTTTTCCAGGTGAAATAAAACAGATAAGGCAATATGCATGATATGATTATAGTTTTGGAAAAGAAAATATTTGGGATCCTAGTCTCTGAAGAACAAATAAAGATAACAGTGATTATCTTTGAGTAGTGAGATCTGGCTGACCTTTTTTACTTTTTTCTTTGTACTTATCCATATGGTCTAAATTGTCTATAAAATGTGTATTGTGTCTATAATACAAGATAATAATTTTTATTTTAATAAAGAGCCATGCTGGGTAGAAGGCTAATAAAGTGTGCTGGTACACTGGGACCTTAGGAAGCCCACTGAGAAGCTGCAAGTCCAAATGAAGATTAAGAGGGAGAACAGAGAGCCGAGGAAGAGCGTTTGCAGGTCTGTGATCTTGGGAAGGCAGCGCCTCTGCTTGACAGAATCGAGGGCTGGGAACGTAAAGATGGATAGCCTTGGAATTAAGAGAGGCAAAATATTAGAAAAGTCTTGGTCATTATATTAACACCTTCAAAAGTAGAAGCAAGAAGTGGGGGCAGGGGGAAAGAGGAACATTCTAGTGTTTACAGAAACCATAGGGAAAGGTGGAGGTGGCTTAGAGGAGCTCTGCCCACAGCAGAGGAGAGGAATGGCGGCAGATGACTGTGAACACCATGAGAAAAGTGGATAGAAAGCCTCCGATCAGGGGCTGAGAGCAGGGATTGAGAGAGCAAAAGGGAAAAGTTAAGTCTGGCCTCTCTTCCCAGACTCCAGAGAGACTGGTGAGGAGGGAAAACAGGGGACTTCTGTGACAGAGTGTCTTAGTTCAGGCTGCTGAAACTAATACCACAGACGAGGGGGCTTAAACACCAGAAATTTATTTTCTCACAGTTCTGCAGCCTTGAAGCACAAGATTGGAAGCTGGCAGCATGGGTGTCTGGTGAGAGCTCTCTCTTTGGGTTGCAAATGGCTGCCTTCTGATTTCGTCCTCACATGGCCTTTCATAGTTTTGTGTGGAGAGAGAGCTGTTCCTCTTCCTATAAGGCCACCAGTCCTATGAGATTAGGACCCTACCCTTATGACCTCATTTAGCCTAAATTACCTCCTCAAATCCCCGTCTTCAAATGCAATCACAACGGCATCCAGAGCATATGAATTTCGTGGGAACACAGTTCAGTCCACGGCTGAGAGTTTTTAGGGAAACAGTGTTTCAGGACAAACCCAAGTTGTATAAAGTCAAGGATATGGAAGTTACATTTGTGGGAAAGGTTAAAGTTATTTTTAGTCCCTGACACAGCAGGTGAGGATGAGGGCAAAGGAGCCAGTGGTTAACTTAGGACGTGGCAAGACAAAACAAAGGACC